TTTAAACCCAGTTTCTTCTTAACTCCAACTTACTTAAGGGAGATGTATGGGGAAAACTAGGGCAGGAAACATCACCTGAGAGAGAAAGAGTTCCTGAAGTCCAGAGTTCTGTGGCAGTGGCAGGGAAGGAGGCACCTCCAATGGCTGAGTGATGGTGAGGAGCTCTGACAGCCAGTCCTTGGCACAGCACCCACGCTCTGAACGTTACCCTGACATGCCAAGGACAGCTAAAAAAACCCCACACACGTAAAAGGAGATGTTCAAGTCCTCCACCTTACCCCAAACTTCTACAGGAGAAGCAAGAGCTGGAATGGCATTGCTGCTCAGAATGTTCCACATGCAAAATTCAACTAGTGAGCAAACGTCTGGGCACATTATCTTATTGCAAAGGCAATGAAAGCACTCACTCTCCCGTGGGATCTGAGCAAAATTCTCAGAATTCAGTCAGAACTGCAAAAGCAAAACAAAGCTTTCAGCGTGTTGCTCAGAAAGGAAATAGTTCTCTTTTCTCTGATGAGGAAATCCCCCCAAACCTACTGCACACAGAGAAGCACGGATGACAAAAATAGATGAAAACAGAAGAGCACAGGAACTGCAGCTCCTCCGAGGTCTGGGGAGACCATTCCCAGCTAACAAGTGCTTGGTTTGTTCATTGCACAAGTCCCACTGCACATATGGTGCAGCTCCAGCTTGCATTCTGACAGAATTAGCTTTCTAGAAGCAGCAGATTGTCCATTAGGCCCATCAAGTCATCATGGGGTTAGAACTGGCAGACACACACAGCAGAGCAGAAACAGTTCATGTTATTAAGCATTTATTTATTTGTATGTAATGGTGAAAGACTGCAGGGCTCAAGTACATAAATAAGTGCAAAGACAGCCTGGAAATCGGAAGGTATTTGGTTAAAAGTAAATGCAACCACCTTGTTTTAACTTTCTCCTTCTAGACAGTAAATTACTTGTCATTACGGACAGAACAGTCTCAAGGTCTGCCAAAGCATTTCCAGAGAACTATCATAATATTTGAGCACTCAACGAAACCAAAAATCCTTTACAACGCAGGAGGTCAAACCTTATTAACCCAAAAGCCACGCACACATTTAACTCATTAGCTGGGATGAATAAGACATCTCCTCTTTTCCCATCTCAGAGCTGCAGCTGCTTTGCAGTGACTGCACCAGCCCAGCAAAGCCGTGGATAACTCACGCAGCTTTTATCACATTAGCCACGGGCTGCACTCCCCACGATCATTAGCTTTGAAGTGTATTAAACAAAGCAGAACACGACCTTAGAGCTGATCCTTTAAATAGCTCCACATAAGGACAATTCTTCATCAGAGATACTTCACTCAGGCCACCAAACGAGATGCTGTGCCCAAAGCAAGCAGGCAGAGGACTCTGTTCCACAGCCCAGGCAGGGACCAACTGTTTTGAGCTGCAGAGTTCACCACACAACTCCCAGCACACAGCCCTGATTCTGGCTGGGCTCAGGGGCCAACAAGAAGCAGATATGTGCAAGTGGATGAGACTAATGCAGAAAAGAAATCAAAGCTTTTCCTTTCGAACTAATACAATGCAGCATGGCTTTGCTCATTAGCAAAATGCACAGCTTATCTTATCCACGGCCGTGTTCAGTCCAACATGCCATCAGCATTTTAGAAATGGAATCTGGGGAAGGGAAAGTGAAAGAGGGATGACACGGTGCCCTTTGAGTGAAGTCAGGAAATGGAAGATATTTCACACAGGAATTCATCTTACTTGAATTCTCACATTACTGCAGTGCTTGAGATCCTCTCCAGCACAACCTGCACTAAGGTATTTACACTATAAATAAATACATGCTTAATGTGATCAGTGCGGTTTCCTTACATCCCTGCCATTTTGTACTGCTTCAAATACCAAGAGCAGTGGGAAGATAAATCTAAAACTTATTATTGAGTTATTATTGAGCTGGGGGATTATTCTTTTTGTCTTGAAGTGGCTACGGCTTTGTTATCTCCGGGACTATTTTACAAAGGAGTTGAAAGAAAATGTGTTCTTCTGTCAAGCCAATAATTCAAGATTCAGAGAGCATTTTCTTCCCTACTGCAGGAAAATGTTATTTCCCCCCATCCCCAAGTTCAGCAAACCTTTAGTCCTCCAGCTCACAAGACTATGCTCAAAAGACACAAATTAAACTTAAGAATTCTAAAGGTATTTCCAAATTTAAGTTAACCACTCTGGTCTTCCATACATCTAGGGAAAAACATAAAGTTATCACTAATTACAGACGTCTTTCCCTACCATCTGCCCACTATGCTGCATCTGAGACATGCAAGTGTACAGAAAATAGAGAAAAACAGACATTAAACTTTAAAGCCACGTTTGCACACCAGTTTTTAACGTTATTGGGAACACACAGCTTAATTAAGATGAGGACAGCCTGCAGACTGAGTGTAGGACAGATGTACCCTGTATTAATTCCTACTCAGCCCGTGCTTCACAAAGACAGAATAATGCATTGCCCACACAGAACACGGTTTGTTAGAGATTATTTTAAAAGGTATTCAGGCATGCCAAAAATGTGTCTTCATGGATGATGAGCAGCCCCAAAACAAATGTGAAATTCTGAGAAATTAAAAAGGCCTTGAAAGAGCGAAGAGCGGGCCAGATCTTGATGTGAAGGATCCTCCCAGCACTAACACATCTTTGCGATACACAAGATTATAAACTGAATTAAGCAACACAAATACAACATTTATATCTACAGAATAAATTTCAAGAGGGGCATTACAATGATGTAGAGTTCCTAGAACTCTACAAGACTCTGTATGAACATACACACGTTCTTCCATCTGAGAGGGGGCAAGAAGAGACCCAAGCCTTAAAAACAAACCCCAAACCACCCCGGTGTGCTCCTGCAGGGAGCCAAACACTGAGCAGCTCAGAGCTGCTTTTACCCCTGGCCATTCTTGGAATCAACTTGAGCCAGCAGTGCTGTAGCTAAAGAATTCCAAAGGCCAGCAGACACACAGCATATTGTGAATATGTGAAAGCAGATACAGGTGAAAAGTATTTGTGAAGTTGTCACTCGTGGACGAATCGCTCACTTACAAAGGTAGATGGGGAGACAAACTCAAAGCAAATATAAAAACCCAAACTCGATTAGAGGATGCGAGAATACAGGATAGACAGTCTCACGAGGACAAATTTTGGAACTCATGACTACGTTTAACAGGAAACTTCATGTTGCCACAAGCCTTCACATTGTATTACATCTCAGGTTGCCCTGTGTAATTCTGTAGGCAACACATACCTCAAAAAAAAAAAAAAGCCATCAACCTTTCCTACTCCCTCCCTTCCCTGGGCTACTACTCCTCATCACGCTCAACCAAGCTACAGTAATTCTAAAAAATTCAATGGGTGTAAAAGAAACAAAGTATGATTCTGGTCCAAGCCTCAGGGCTTCAAAAAAAAAAAAAAACACCAAACAACCAAAACCCAACAGAATCTGGAAAAGTATCACAAAACTGATGGAGAGGGATAACAACCTATTTTAAGTTTTAGCAGCTGCAGGACTGCAGCTTTGTGGCTTTATTTAAAACATTCTAATTTCACTGAAAGAATAAAATACCATTAACAGGCATTTGGCTCTATCTGTGCTACGACATCTTGGTAAACACCTCTCACCAACTCGGAATGGCATCGTCTTCTATTAGCCTACACAAAAAATGAGATGAGAACTGAGGAATCAGAGCTCAAAGGTGATTAACAGCACAAAACTCATACACACTGTGCAGCTTTCAAGCAGCTCTTTAACACCAAGATGTGTGGAGCATCTATCTGATATACGAGAGATGCTACGCGGTCTGATTAAAACGAGCTGGTGGCAGGAGGGAGAAAACGCACACAGGTTTTAAAGTGCAACAATCCAGGTGCTTTTTTTTCCCCGTTTTTCCCTCCCACTGTTCTTGCCGGAGGAGATGGGGACAGGAAACACACAGGGACACCTGCACACGATCCGTCTGTTCCCACAGCCACCACCAAACTCTTCCCACCTCTCCCATCAGCGCCGCAAGAAGTTGCAGCCAACGCCTGACAAGTTCAATGCTCGAGCTTCTCATCCGCACGTTCACACCGGGGAATTCATGTGCCTTAACATCAGGTAATACAGACCAGCAGTTAAAAAAAAAAAAAAAAAAGATAAAATATTTAAAAATGAGTTTTAACAGTGATGCATCGCAAACGCAGATGCAAACCCAAAACCGAGCTGGTGCTTTGCTACTGATTTTTACCATTAGTTTTTAATAATCGAGCTCTTTCTGCAATACAACACAAAAGTTTAAAGCCCAAAGCTTACTAGTAGCAGCGTTAGCTAGACAGATAGCACGCAAGTTTGGTTGTTTTAATGGCCAAAACGCAGAACGCCCGGCGCGCACACACGGTCTGCAGCACGCCGAGCCAGCCGGCAGGACCGGGGGTGCCACGGCCGGCAGAAGCCCCTCACGACCGGGCTCTGGAAGCCCAGCTGCGGGCAAGGAATGGCCGGGAACGGCCACCCCGACCCGCGGGACACCCCGGGGGGGGTTTTGAGCGCGACTTTCCCCTCAGCACAGCTCCAGCCCCAGCGCTCTCGCCGGAGCCCCCCGGGGGCGGGGGAGAAGGGAGCGCGTCCCTGCCCTGGCTGCCCGCAGCAGGTGAGCACCTGAGGGCTGGGCTGAGGGGCTTCTGGGCTTGATTCCCGCTCCTCCTGGGTTATCCCGGGGGGAAGCAGCTCCGATCCCGACCGCCTCCCCTCCTCTCCCGCCGCAGCGGCGGGCGCAGCCCGTGCCCGTCCCTCCCTCCCTCCCTCCATCCCTCCCTCAGGTGCTGAGGGAGCGCCGGCGACCCCCGCACGGGCAGCGGCTCCTCCGCACCGACACAGAGCAGGAGGAGTCTCTCTCTCTCGCTTACAACAAATAAACTAGAGCCGCCACGCTGCGTTTGCACACACTCAGGTCCCTCAAGGGACGAGCGCACTCACCGGCACTGCCACCGCCCTGCCCGCTGCCCGGCGGTGCGCCCGCCGCTCCGCGCTCCGCCGCGGCTCTGCCAGGCTCGGCTCGGCTCGACTCTGCCAGGCTGGGCTGGGCTGGGCTGCGCTCGCCTCCGCTCCGCTCAGCCCCGCTGTGCCCCGCTCCGCCCGCCGCCGCCCGGGGTGGTGCCTTCGCCCCGCTCCGCCCCGCGCAGCCCCCGCCCCCGCCCCGCTCGGCATTGTGGGGCTTGTGGTCGCGGAGCGCGGACTACGAGCCCCAGGGCCCCGCGCGCGGTTCCGGACAACGCCTGGTGTGTGGTAACACCGCGGGTCTTCCTCCTTCTCCTCCTCCTCCTCCTCCTCCTCCTCCTGCTGCTCCTTCTGCTCCTCGCGGGCGCTTCCGGCGCGGCGGCGGCGGCGGCGAAGCCCCTCGGGAGCGGCGGGGCCCGGCGGGCCGGGGCAGGTGAGGAGCCGAGCCCTGCCCTGCCCTGCCCGGGGCCCGCCGCGCCCCGCGGGGCTGCGAATTAAACCTTCCCCCGGCACCGCGGCCGTGCTGAGGGAGCGGCCGGGGCGGCCTGGCCGTGCGGGGAAGGTGTGCGGGGTGTCCCCTGCGCTCCCGGCCGGGCCGTGACCTCCTCCTGCCCCCGGCCCCGGCGGGCTTGTCCTTCCCCTCGCCCTCCCCGCGGCCGCTGGGGCTCCGGGGCCCTCCCCGTGCCCGGCCTGGTGCCGGTTCCCGGTTCCCTCGGCCCGGGCCCGGCAGGCGCAGGCAGGCCCGGATGTGTTTTATTTCTGTGTGTGTATTTATTTTTAGCTCGTCCTCTCGCAGCGGGCGCTGTCAGGTGGCTGCGGCGGACAGGGAGAAAGGGCACCTCGGCGCCTTCCTGCGCCAGGGGAGGCTCAGGTTGGGCACAAGGAAGAAATTACTCACGTCGAGGGTGATTAGATATGGGAAGGGGCTGCCCAGGGGGGTAGTGGAGTCACCGACCCCCCGGGGGTGTTTTAAGGCGAGGCTGGACGTGGCACTCGGTGCTCTGATCAGGGTGACGAGGTGGTGTTGGGTCAGAGGTTGGACTCGATGATCTCAGAGGTCTTTTCCAACCTGTTTGGTTCTCGGATTCCTTCTCTGCAGGGTCCCTCGGGCTGTGCCCCCCCTTAGGGGCTGAGCAGTCAGGGTGTCCCATCAAGGTGCTCACTGATCTGGTGAGTTTGGCTGGTTCCTCTCCCGTGTCTCTGGATGGCTCAAACCTTGGGCCGGGTCTGTGCTGTTCCTGTTATCAGAGGAACTAATTGTCCCCTGGAATTTGTTTACGTGTTGGGAAGTATTTTTACGTTGGGAGCTGTGTCATACCTGGTGGTGTTCGATAAATAGGTTCACTTTCGCGTTCCCAAGGAGGTGAAAAAGAGAGAGAAGCAGGGGTTTGTTGTTGTGATTATATATTCTAACAGCCACAGCCTGGTTCGGTTATGCTATATAACAGTTTTAATGTTGCTGACTAGTGGAACTGGAGCACAGGCTGTGGGTTCTCATGTTAGGCACCAACTGGATGTGTTAGGACAGACTAAATTACTTCCATTTTGAAGTCCAGCAAAGGAACACGAACTGATTGTAAGCCTGACTTCAGGTTAGGCTTGGATTTTTTTTTTTTCTAAGTGGGTATGGTTCTATAAATAGGCACCTTGGGTTTATCACAGGTTTGTCTGATTTCTGAATTAGTCATAGAACTGTTCTAACAGTAATAAAATGCATAAGCAGTTCAGTTTTGTCAGTGAGCTCAACTTGCAAGTGGCTGTTACACGTGTATGGGGATGTTTGAGAGCTGCATCTCTTCTCTGTTCCAGACACTTTAAAGGCACTTCTAGAAATTCAATCCTCTTTTCTGGTGACATTGCTCTTCAGTGAACCTGCTGGCTGTGAGAGTTAGTAGAATATGGAATCAGTGCACTAGCCTGCCTTTTTGAAATTTCCTGTTATCTTTGCTGATTTTAAAATACAGAGATAGTTACCTTAACATTTGATCTGTATGCCAATCCCAGGGCATTCACTCATACATTTTAAAAAGGAGGAAAGTAATTCTGTATCTGAAGCACAAAGCCTTGAAGTTTTGTATAATATAATATAATCTAAGTTATGCAGTGGGAAATAGTTGCAATTGGGCAGGTAAGGTAAGATCTGAAAAAATAAAAGAGATGGGGGGAGGGGGTTGTTTTGTTTTTAATTTAAGTGACCATATAATTAAAAGAGCATATTCTGCAATTCTTTTTCTTCTGTAAACTTTGCAGCAGCCAAGTTGACCTAAACCCCCTCCTCCCGTCCACATTGCTCTTACATTCTGATTCAAGCTCTTTGCCTCCAAATTCAGAGGCAAATTATGAATTATGCTGTTATTTCTCTTCCCCTACTCTTTCTTCCTGTACTTAAATTATTTTTTTCTGGTAACTCAGGGGATCTCAGGTCAGGTTAAAGGTAAAACCTCTTGAATCCTCGCTGCAGAAAGTGGAGCAGAACTTCTTGGCAGTAGGACCATCTTTTCTAGCAGGAATAGAGCTGCAGTTTTTGCTAGAAGCCAACCACTGAAATAATAATTCTTGTAAATCACTGCCTCAGGCCTTGTTCCTCTGTGGTGCTTTTCTAAAAAAGAATATTAATGTCTAAGCACTTATCAGATCTGAGGTGGATGGAGCCTGGAGAAGCGAGTAGGGACAACATCAGTGCAGAATTAGATCTGCTGATGACACAACTGAAGACTGAAATCCTGCCAGTTGGTGCCAGATATTTCTGTTGGTTTAAAACTCTTTAAAAAGTTGAAATGAGGAGAGTCTCCTGTCTCCTCCTCAAACACTGTTGCAGAAATAGTTTCACACAAACACCTTTCTTTGATGGATACCTTGCTTGTTTTCACCCTGGCCTATGCACAGGTGTGGATTTTGTGGATTTGGAGCTCCACTGTGATGGTTCTGCTCTTATTAAGTATCTCAGCAGTTCTGTTTGATTTTTAGGGCACGGCTGAAAGTCTGTCAGTAAATGACACACATTAGAGGAAGCAGATTGTCACCTCAGACACCCATCACGGTGGTTGTACATCCTGGGAAGGGTGGGGGGGTTGTGCTCTTTACCTTTTTTTGACTCACAGGAAGTTTATCTTCGTGTAGGGTATTTTTTTTTTTTTCCTGCTGAAGTTCAGCTGAATGATTTAAAATGTCATTGGATGGGTATGGGGCAGTGGGTCTGGGAAGAATCTTTCCGAATCTGTTGCTCATCCAAAATGTACCACATCTCTCAGTGTTTGAATGGGATATAGAGACATAAAGGTTAGATTTGTCGTGCCAGGGAGAGCATGTATTCCATGTTAATACATCTCTGGATGTGTGTGCTGGTGAAGATTGAGCAGGCAGGGTTGTGATCACTGGCATCTTAGCCTAGTCTGCAAATCGAGATGCTCTGTAAATTCCTGTGTCATTCTGTGCATTCTCCCCCCATGCTGCTGATTGCTCATACGTGGATTGGAGTCCATGGGATCACTGGGACAGGAAAAGCTCAGGCTCACACACAGTGTCATGTTTGGCAGTGTCCTGCTGTCTTCTCCTCATCTGCCCTCTCAGCCCAATTAACAGGTTTGCCAGCAGAGTAACACCTTTTATGCATCCTACAGCAATTTCCCGGGGTTTTCTGAACGGCACTGCTCCATTGTGCTGTTCTAATAAATCACCTTCTCGTGGAATCTCATTCCATCTTTTTTGAGAATGCAAAAAGCCAGCTGACAGATGAAACTGGGGTAAACTCCTCTCAAAGAAAAGGCTCTTTTGAGACTGCAGGGAACCGAAGTTAAGCTGTTAGCAGACAGTGTCCTGCAGCCTGGCAGCCTGTGCAGAGCTGCTTTTGATCACATCCCCAAAGAAATGCTGGAAGCTCCGATAGTGTGCATTAAACTTTGGCTCCAGTCAGGCCGTTTTCAAGGTTGGTGAACTTGCTAATAGTTGATCTAAATAATAGAACAGAAACTTCATGAGGACTGAGCCCTTCCTCAAGTATTGTGTGTGGTTTAGTGCAGCTGTGACGAACTGTCTTCCTGTAGCACAGTAAATGTGGAATTTTTATTAAGATCTTTATTCTTTCTATTTAACACCAGCAAAGGCTGAAGTGCATAAATTGCATCCAAAAGAGGTGAAGAAGCTGATCCCTGACTGCAGAGATAAATAGTGTAGCAGGGTCAGCATTCAGGGCCTGGCATGATGGGGTGATGCTTCTAGAAAATGGGGAGATTTCTGGAATCATGAACAACCAGTGTGATATATTGAATATATTTCTTTTTATACATTGGCAACAAAGGCATGTGGTGTTCTCCTGTATTTCTTGTGTGTGTGTCTGTGTATAAATCCACCTCTCCAGTCACAACACTGGTGTCTTTTGTGTTCATATAAATCCAAAGTGCTGTATTTTTATTTTTTTTTTTTTTTGCTAAGAGTGTCAGTGTCTGGTAAAGAGGTAATAGATAATGTCTAATTGTTTTTATATGAGGGGTTTAACTGTACCATGGATTAGTAACAATAGCTTATGGCTCTTCAGGAGAAAATGAGTTCTTCATGGTAGTCCACAGTGTAATAGGTTTTCATCATCATAAAAATCCATCATTTCACTTAGTATTTCCTTTTTTGTGTGTGTGTGTGGGTACTGCTAACCCATAAAAACAAAGTAATTATATCTAATGGCAATTCTGTCCTTTTTTTGCCCTTCTTCCTGTGATAAAAATCTTTTGGGGAGAGCAGAACAATGTTCAGTGACCTGATTTAACTCTTTAAAAAACTTACTCTGAGAGTACAGTCCTGGCTAAAACCTTGCAGGGAATCCAGCTGCGAGTGCTGCCTTCAGTGGTGCTTGTCAGGTTAGTGTTTATATTTACTGAACTTCCAGAAACATGGAGTTCAACAGCAAAACAAAGAGATCTCCAGCCACTCTGGCCCTCACACGCAGGGAATCCACATGGATGGTAAATGGGACAGCTTGTACCTGCAGCAGGGAGTGAAAACTTGCTCAGACAAGTTCCCACCCCCCCCCATGTGAGCAGACCTTGCCTGAATTTATGTAACTCG